CATTATTGTAAAACAGTTACAAACAAGAATAAAATAATTAAAATTAAAAAGATGAGGAAGAGGTTTCAGAACAGTGTGCTCCTCTGTGAATCCCAACCAAGTCATTACCCTTCCTAATGAGAATTTAAGAGTTCATTTTAGTAGAAAAAGTTACCAGGCTGAGACTAAAAGAATTTTATATTCAGATTTATGTTCTACTTTACTGAACTGGAAAAATATTTAGGATTGCAGTCCTATTGAGTTAGTAAATAAAGGGAGATGAATAGTCTTAACTGGTTACTTTTACAATATACTACTTGCCAAACAATGGAAATAACATTTCCAATGATTTATACCAACACACACACATATTTCTAATAAAGATCCTGACCAAGATTGATTTTCATGTTTTTAACTTTTATTTTAAAATATTATCTCTTACCTCTAAATTTTTCAAGAACTTTTTCTCGCCGTATCAGGTCTTTATATACCAATCTAAGATTATTAATCAACTCCTTCGTTTCTTGACTCTCTGTAAAACTTTCAAGTATGTTTCCTTTCGCGATGACATCAGGCTCCAAGCATTTGTTGTCCTCTTGATCGCACCCATCATTGTTTATCTCATTTAAAACCATCTCCTTTATGATGAATTATTTTCTAGCAAAATAAAACCCTATTAAAATTAAAGTTAGAGTTAGAACCATTAATTTGTTTCAATAATAAAAATCCATAACAGAAGTGCAGGTAATCCTTATTATCACAATTGGAAATGGACCTTCTGTTATAAAGGAAGACGGTTGGTAAGTGAGTTGTGCCCAATTTTACCTTTTTGCCACAGTCATTAACTGAATCAATGTGGTTAAGTGAATCACAAAGTCATTAAACAAATCCATTTCCCCCCATTAGACCTCACTCCATTTCAGTGATATCTAAGACTTTTTGATCTGAACTGGACTACGACTATTTTATCTTCAAAATAGACAATTAACAGTAACATACAAAGAAAAGTTAAAATATGTGACAATTTCCCTCCCTTCTCTTTTTCTAAATTTCCATATTATGGAGCTACAAGAGTACTATCTGCAATATCTAGTTATCACTGGTTTTGTGCATAAATAAATTTCGGAGAAGCTTTAACTATGAGGAAGTTTGCAAAAGGTCCAGCTTTAATCCATAAAGTAGATTTAGAAAAGGGTCATAATAAAACAGAAGATTAAGAACATCCACAGCAAATAATTGGAGCTTTAATGATGTATGAGACCTTTTTCTTGGTTTTCCTATATTTACATAATAATGGATACTGACATAATTAAGATCCGTTGAAATTCATAGATAGTAAATATCATTTATAAATAAGAGCATTTTGGGGGGGAAATGGAATGTCCCCAAAAAGAAATGGAAATCAGATAAATTACAATGCCTCATCTATCAAATTGGATAAAATGTTAAATTACAGTAAGTTTATTTAAAAGGAAAGATGACTGAGATTGAAGCAATGGGCCATGGATATATTGTAACAGGATCAGAAACAGGGTGGATTTGATTTAAATCGAGTTGATTTAAATCACAATTTAAATCATGATTTAAATCACTAGTAAAAAGGCTTAATTTAAATCAACTCGATTTAAATCATAATTTTTAAAGAGCAACTGTCATCTCTGCTACTCCTTTGACCACTGTTGACTCACCGATAGTCCCAGTGTTGCAGAATATACAGCCTCATGCTACATAACTAAGCTCCATTTCATGCTGAATAAGCTAAATTATTTATGTATCTTAAATAGAAAACTATCTTACGATAGATTTTTACCCCAAAAGTTTTTTATTAAAATAAATTCGATAAAAATCAAAAAAACCCAATTTAAATCAAAAAAATCTGATTTTTTTGATTTTTTTAAAAAAAATCATTTATTTTTATCCACCCTGATCAGAAAGCTATTGATACTATTTATTTATTTGTTGTACTGTGTCAAATGATCCCCAGTGGCTCTGCAATTTAAAAGCACAATAAGATACAACTAATGCAAATTGTATCTAGGTACACCAATATATCAATGGCATTTTAGTTATGTCATTTATGTATGAGAATGGGCTATATTCTTGCAGAGATATAGATATAGATATAGATATAGATATAGATATAGATATAGATTGGTTTACGTAGGTAGAACCTGGCTAAAGAAAAATACACATAAAACCTACGAAAAAGAAAGAAAAATAGATATAGATATATAGATATAGATAAAAAGAGGCCGCACAATATGAATAGACGAGATGACGCCTCTAGGTTATCAAGTATTTGGAAACCTGCACTGAGGGAAACTCAAATTTTAACATCAGAGGATAGGCAGAGATCCCAACAGGCAACCAGTGGTGTTGTAATGCATACAAGAACCCTTTCCTCTTTGCAGTTGATAGCTAGCAATAGGGAGAGAGAGAGAACCAAGCCAGAAGATATGCTAAGATCTCAACAGGCAACCAGTGGTGCTGTGATGCCTACTAGAATTCTTACCTCTTTGCAGTTGACAGTTGGTAATAGGGAGCCAGACAAAACTGGACCGTTAACATGCATTCAGGCTGCAGCTAGTATAATGAAGCATGACCCACAGCTTCTAAACTGATAATAAAGGCCCGAAGATGACAAGGTAGAGAGCTTGTCGAAACGTTACCTAACCTTTAAAGTGTTGGTTAGGATTTCAGACAGAGTTTTTGAAAGACCTTAAAAAGGTTTTTGTTTGGGAATTTAGAGGATTCTGAGCTGGGATCTTAGCCAGGATTTTAAACATTTTAACTAACAAACTTATAATGATGCGTGAAAACACCCGAGATTTTAACTTTTTACATAGATATAGATATAGATATAGATAAATTTATGTAGCCTTCCATTTCACAATAATAACTCTGGATGACTTACAAAATATAAAAACAATAACCTAATATAAAATGTAAACCACAATCAAGAAGTGTTGACAAATTTGAAATCAAATTTAGTAATTTATCTTGGGTAACATAAGTGCCTTAACTTTCAATTGTATTTTTGAGAATATACGTCTTAATTAAAAATTTATCATTCTATGTATTTTTTCTACATGGTAGTACAGATAGTCCTTGACTTACTAGATTGCTTAGTCACTGTTCAAAGTTACAATGATACTGAAAAAAGTGACTTATGACCATTTTTCACACTTATGACCATTGCGGCATTCCCAGGGTCACATGATTTACATTTGGATGCTTGACAACTGACTCACATTTATGACGGTTGCAGTATCCCGGGGTCATGTGATCACCTTTTGCAACTTTCTGAGAAGCAAAGTTGCTGGGGAAACAAGATTCAGTTGACAGCCATGTTACTAATGTAACAACTGCAGTGATTCACTTAACAAATGTGGCAAGAAGTGTCATAAAATGGGGCAAAACTCACTTAACAAGTTTCTCACTTAGCAACATAAATTTTGTGTGGTCGTAAGTTGAGGACTCCCTGTATACCAAATTTCCTTATTTCTCATATTAAATAAATCAATGAACAAATATTACACTAATGGACTTTAATTATATAATTCTATATAATTAAATGAATGTAGCCCCAAGCTACATTCTGTACAATGAGCTTTATTAAAGTACTACCTCTAGAATAAAAAGATGTTACCGGTCAATTGTTATCACAAAGGCTAAATGCAATGTGTGGGCTGAGGCTGCCCACATATATAGACACATGAACACTGGTTGTGTGTGCGTGTGCGTGTGTGTGTATAGATATATATATTTCCACATACATATATAATCTTTTCACTTGGTGTCTTTGGGTCAGTCATTCACTTTCGGGTCCCACACAAGTTTGTTGTGGGGAAATAGGAGAGGGAAGGAGCACTATGTATATCACCTTCAGCTACTATAGGCAAGGGCGGGATATAAATCTAATAAATAAACCTTCAGAAAGTTCACTGAACAAGAAATATTACCAAATTCATCTAATCTGTTTCTTTGGCCCCTTGATTTTTCTTTCACAATCCATTCCACGTTTTATTTATAATAACTCATATTTAGGTTGCTGTCTCAGTTTGAATAGGGTCCAATCTAGTCAATACTTATTTGCAGCATAGCGATTTCCATGAGCCTAAGTGAGCACCGATTCTTTCCTATGGCTATGCTTGCCTGGCTTTTTCAGCATCACCCTTTGAAAATCTGCCTAAAAAAAAAATCCTAGCTGTTTTATTATCATTTGCTAGCTGGAATCCCTATAAAGCCCGAAGGATGCATCTTCCTTCAATCCTCAATCTGCAGAAATCGGATGGCTCTGGGGGAAAAAAACCTTTTTTTTCTCTCTCTCTGCAAATAAAATAACAGTCATGGAAAAATCTTGAGCTATAGTCATTACAGCAAAGCCTGCAGCTTTTAAATGCCACCCAAAGGACCGAACAATCTTTCTTTCCTTCTTTCATGCAGATGTTTTTGGGTGTTACCATTTACTGCGGAAGCACCAATATTCAAGGGTAAAAACTGAAGCCCTCTGACCACTCTTAGACCCGATCCCCTGACTTTTAATTTCTCGCCAGGCCTTGGCGAGATGTATTTCTTAAGATTTTAATGTATTTCCTAAGAAAGAGGCTGTGGAATAAAGACCGTTTGAGAGACAAGCAGTGAATTCCCCGCCTTGGAGACACCCAGCATCCTTCTAGCCTGGGCGGACCGGACCACATCTCCTCCTTTTTTTTAGGACAAAGCTCCGAGCCTCTCATTGACCCAATCTCCCTCCAGCCGGCCCGATTTCCCAACTGCGCCTCTCGTAGAGGCCGGACGATCCCTTGTAAACGGGCCCTCATTTCGCCCCGCCGAAGCTTTCATTACCTTAACAACCAAAGAGGCTCGTCGTGGAGCCAGGCCTCCGCTCTACGGCTCCCCGCGTGGGTCAAAAAAAGCCTAGAAACGTCAGGATTCTGCCTTCAGGAGGAAGGAGAGGGGAGGAGCCTAACGAAGGGGAGGGGACGGAAAGGAAGGAATTTGGCAGGGGTTGGCGATGAGCGCGGAGGATGTCTTCTCCAGAGGTTGGAGGGTCTCACGTTTCTGCCCGGTTTTCTCTTAATCCCGAAAATAGCAAAGCTGCTGCTTGCCACGCGTCAGGCCGGGCGCTACACCTACTTCTCATCAAGTGCATTTTATAGAAAAGGTACAGACTCCGCGCCAGTAAAGGTTAAAGGATGGGGACGGTGTGTCTCAAACCCATCAGTAAGCAAATCCGAACAAGAAACGGCGGAGAATAGTTAATCCCTTTCTTCGAAGGAGAAAATTCAGGATGATGCACTCATGGCTGTATTTTTGTCTTTTAGAAAGGATGTTATATTGCTTTGTCTATTATTGAATCTGCCTAGGGAGTGGGATGGGACGGGAAACGAAAGGATCTAAAATTAGAAAAATAATAATAATTCCCTTCTCACACACCCATGTTATACTAAGACTACTTATAAATTGGCCGGTCCCCAGTCATGAGTGAATTTATGTACAGAATAAAAACATACTTTATTCAATTAAAGAACAGTCTAGCAATAATAAAATAGACTATTATGGGTGGCCATAATAGATTGAATTAATTTATACCCTGTTTTCCCCCAAAATAAGACATCCCCTGATAATAAACCCAATCGGGCTTTTGAGCGCATAACAATAAGGCCAAACGCCTATTTCAAGATTCAAAAAAATAGAATAGAGCTGGAAGGGATCTTGGAGGTCTTCTAGTCCAGCTCCCTGCTCAAGCAAGAGATCCTATACCATTTCAGACAAGTAACTGTCCAGTCTTTTCAGTGATGAAGCACCTACAACTTCTGAAGGAAAGCTATTCCACTGGTTAATAATCATCAGTGTTAGGAAGTTTCTCCTTAATTCCAGATTGCTTCTCTCCTTGATTACTTTCCATCCATTGTTGTCTTGCCCTCTGATGCTTTGAAAAATAAGTTGCCCCCCCTCCTCCTCGTGACAGCCCCTCGAATACTGAAATACTGTTATCATGTCCCCCTTAGTCCTTTTCTTTAGACCAGTGATGGTGAACCTTTTTGGCAGCGAATGCCCAAACCGGAACATGTGCATGCGTGTGCAGGCGCTGGAGTGCCGGAAACCCTGAAGACCAGCTGGCCAGTGTGCACATGCCTGTTTTTTGGCCTGGGGGGGGGGACATTTTCAGGCCAAAAACAGTCTGAAAAACGACCCAGAAAACAGCCCGAAAAATGGCCTGGTTTTTGGCCGTTTTTCAGCCATTTTCCAGGCTGTTTTCCGGCACTCTGGTGCCCACAAACACCAGCTGACCAGCGTGCCGGAAACCCGAAGAGCAACTGGCTCTGCATGCCACCTCTGGCACCTGTGCCATAGGTTCGCCATCATGGCTCTAGACTGCAAATCCAAATCCTGCAACCATTCTTCATATGTTTTAGTCTCCAGGCCTTTAATATGGATATCATTAGAAGTAGTCCTCAACTACAATTGAGCCCAAAATTTCTGTTGCTAATTAATTAAGACAGTTGTTAAATGAATAGTGTCCCATTTTATGATCTTTTTTGCCATGTGATCATTAAGTGAATCTGGCTTCCCACATTGACTTTGCTTGTCAGAAGCTTTCTAAGAAGGTTGCAAATGATAAGCCCAGGTTGCCAGGACACATTATAAATATACATGCCAATTGCCAAGCACCCACAGTTTGATCACATGACTGTGGGAATGCTGAAAGGGTCATATGTGCAAAAACTGGTCATGTCAGGTTTTCAGTGCCGTTGTAACTTTGAACAACCATCAAATGAATGGTTGTTAATTGAGAACTATCTGTAGTGAAATGAAGGTATGAACTTAAATGTTCAGAGGTATTTTTATCTAAAGTGTTCCTTTAAAAATATAAAATGAATATTAATCAAAGATGGAGCCCAGTGGAGTTCCATACTGAACTTACACTTCTTTACCAGACAGATGTTAACACCAAAACCAAGGCCATTTTCTGTTTGGATGAAAAAAAAATGCCTAATATCTCAACCAACGCTATGTCTGTTCACATGTACTAGAAATCTTCTGATATATTTTGTCCTAAAGGCTAGGTTTGTAAATTATAGTTGTTACTCATGAGATCCAAATATATCCCGCAAGGTTTTCAGGGGAAACTTCTGAATCTTATTGAAGGCAGTATAGTGGGACATCTGATTTAGCCTGACAATATTTAAATAATTATGACTTGAAATCTTAAGTTTTCTTAAAATTTCTATTTTAAGAAAATTTCTGTTTCTATTGTGTTTTACACTGTTTATTTATTTTAGGTTTTATATGACATTTGTTATATTTGATATTGCTTAATACCAAATATAACATGGCATATAAAAATTTAAAATATTAAACAGTATAAACAAAATAGAATAAAACAAAATAAAGGATGGTAAAAGAGAGAAAAAAGACAAGACAAGACAAGAAAAAAGAAAAGACATTAGGACATCTTTTTTTTTATTGAAAAGTTTTAAGATGTTTTACAAACAAATTTTCCCCCCCTTCCCCCCCCTTCCCCTCTCCCTCCCCCCCCCTACTTCCCAGAGCAAAATACAGGGTATTGCATTTAACAAACATAATCTAACATAAGCAAACTAACTATAAACTCTTAACTTCCCCTTACTCTTTAACTCCGCCATAGGTACTAAAATATCAAAGTAAAAAGAAAAATCATCTAAATAATTCATTCATAAGCTATTTGCAACTTTTTAGTCCCATATTTGTTTTGTATATAGTCAATCCATCTTCTCCATTCCAGTACATATCTTTCATTCGAACGGTCCTTCAAATATGCAGAAATTTTAGCCATCTCCGCCAAATTAGCTACTTTTAATGTCCATTCTTCAATAGTAGGTATTTCTTCCTTCTTCCAATATTGCGCCACCAAAAGTCTGGCTGCCGTTATTAAATTCAAAATCAGATTAGTCTCTATAACTGTACATCCTTCAATTATACCCAATAAAAACAACTGTGGAATAAATTTTATCTTCCTTTTAAGAATATTTTGTATAATCCACCATATCTTAATCCAAAATGCCTTAATTTTCTTACATGTCCACCATACATGAAAATACGTTGCATCATCACATTTACATCTCCAACATGTAGGTTGTAAACTCGGGTACATACAGGCTAGCTTTTGGGGATCTAAATGCCATCTATAAAACATTTTGTAGAAATTTTCTCTTAGATTTTGGGCTTGAGTAAACTTCACATTTCTAACCCATATTTTCTCCCATACATCCATAGGTATTGATTCCCCAAAGTTTTGTGCCCATTTTATCATACAATCCTTCACTAACTCAGTTTCTGAATCTATTTCTATCAGTGCATTATACAACCTTTCAATATGCATTGGACTTTGATCTCTGATTTGTTTTATTAAGTTTTCTTCATTTTGCAAAATACCAATTTTCTGATCTTCTTTCCACCTAGTATACAATTGCCCATACTGAAACCAGGTTTGAATTTTCCTTTCTTCCTTTAATACCTCTAAAGATTTTAATTGCAATATACCTCTTTCCAGAATAAGAAGCTCTTTATAAGTAGTCTCATCTTGTTTCTGCTCCACACTTATATTCTCTATCATATGTCTAGGTATTGTCCAAACAGATAATTTATTATTTAATTTATATTGATACTTTTTCCATACCTGTAATAATGCATTTCTTAATATATGACTTTTAAAATTCTTATCCACCTTTTTATCATATAGTAAATATGCATGCCATCCATATAACAAATTGTACCCTTCAATATTCAATATTCTCTCTTCTGTTAAATTAATCCAATCACTAATTGCTGAGAGCACAGCTGCCTCATAATACAATCTTAAATTAGGCATTTTGAGACCTCCTCTTTACGTATATCTTGCATTATTTTTCGTTTTATCCTTGGTCTCTTTCCTGCCCACACAAAATTAGTAATACCCTTCTGCCATTCGTTCAAATTTCCATCTTTTTTCAGTATTGGTATCATTTGGAAAAGAAATAAAAACTTTGCCAAAATATTCATCTTTACTGCAGCTATCCTTCCCAGCAATGATAATTGCAATTTTTTCCAACTTTCCATCTCTTTCTGGATTTTTTGCCACAGTACTTCATAATTACACTTATATAATTTCGCATTTGATGTTGTAATATAAACCCCTAAATATTTAATCTTCTTAACTGATTCAAATCCTGTTATTTTTTCAATTTCTTATTTTTGACTTGTAACCATATTTTTAATTATTATCTTCGTTTTCCCTGCATTAATTTTAAATCCAGACACTTGTCCATATTGGTTAATTATATCCGTTAAACCTATAACCGAATTTATTGGTTGGGTCAAAGTCACAACCAGGTCGTCTGCGAATGCTCGTACCCTGTAATCCTCATTCCTAATTTTAATTCCCCTTATTTTATCTGAACCACGTATTTTATTCAACAAAAATTCCAGAGTCAAAATAAACAATAATGGAGATAAAGGATAAACCTTGTCTTGTTCCCTTTTCTATATTGAAAGTTTCTGTTAAACTACCATTAATTATTACTCGTGCTGTTTGTTGCTGATATATTGCCTTAATAGATTGTATAAAATCATTAGGACATCTTGTGGTTTCCTATGGAAATCATTGTAGATAGAAACTTAACAAATCTAAAGGTAATGGTAGAATTCTAAACTACTAAACTACTGGTAGCAAATGCACCGCCTCCCATAAAAAGATATTGTGGGGAGGAGGTTGCAAGGGAGTACAATATACATATATGTAAACTAGTATAGAAAAGGCAGTGGGAAAAATACATGTGATAAATTCTTAGGTTCATTCTGACCACAAGGGCATCATCTCTCACTGAGGGTATAACAAAATAATCAGTGGTGGGATTTTTCTTTGATCTAGCATGACCATATTTAAATAATTGTTGAAGCTTAAAATCTTGTTTGCCAAGATTTCTTAAGATATAACACGGCTTTGAAGATTTCGTTTTTATTTATCCTAGATATTTCTGTGGAATAGAAAGATAAGTGAATTGCTTTAAGTTCACATCATAGTGATTTGATCTGTGACAAATTGCTTATAAAGCTTGATAAGTACTTCCAAATTTCCATTTTAGGAATGTTAATCACTAGGAGCTTCACATTAAGGTTACCAGAGTTTGCGAGATGTAAACAGGATGTTTCAAGGGAAATTAAAAGGAAATTCTGTATAATTGCTGTTGATCCCAGGAAGGAAGACCCCAATGAAAGGGGGGTGCTGGGAAGTGATAGGATTTCATCTAAAGTGTATCAGGAAGGAAAATTTAAACTTCCCCTTTCTATTCATTGTCACCTAAACAAAAAATCATACTCCACTGTCATCTCTTTTAATTAAAAAAAAAAAACCTGTCTAATTATCATTTTAGCCTTATCACTGATTTGGTCATAAGGGTTCAATCTAGGTTGATGTTGGAAATTTATAGTCTTATTCTGGAAGAGAGAATAGGTCTTTTTTCCTTTTCACTCCCCTTCAACCTTTTACTACAGCACCCGAAGGTTAGGAACAACTGATGTAAAATAAACCTCTTTCTGAACACCCCCCCCCCAAAAAAAAAACTGCCTTTCAAAGTAAAAATATACTTATATTTACAAGCAGGCATTAATCATACAACACGTTTATCTCTGAGTGATTTACAGAAACTATATTGCCATTTAATCTTCATTTCATGACTCAGCTACTCCTCTACAATTCAAGCCTTCAAAATGTAGAACAACTATATTACTGATTAATACAAGGCAAAACCATGATTAGCTATAAATTTTAAGAGAGAAGAGCAGTTTCTTGTTTGTGTCCTATTCCCCTTGAGATTAATAAGAGGACAAAATGTAGAGTCATAGACCCACCAAACCAGAGCTGTCATTGAGACCATCAAATCCCAATTTCCTATTCAATGAGAGAGAGCAGAAGATTCTTTGTTTCCCCACTTTTTCTTCTTTAAATATTCCTATATATTTTATGGAGGTCATATTCAATCCTATTTACTAAGCTGTTAAAATGAAAGTGAAAGAAATATCTAGCCTATAGGCTCCAAATAAGCTGAGGTTTTTTTATTTGGAGTGTAGCCCATTCCCTCCACCTTACTTGCCTTGCAATTAAGTTTGAACAAGGATAAAGTATCCCAAATGTGGAGAAACTCCAATTTTATTATCACGCTATTAAGAACTGAAATACCTGAATTTATAGTTAGAAGAACTCTAGTTTCAAATGATGTAAATAGAGCTTTGCTTTCTTTTGATTTTATATTATATGTACAACAACTCTTATTCAAATTGTGTATTATTAAGGATTACATATTGTGAGCTTATCCATAACTTTATCTTGTGATAAAAAAAAAGAGAACAAAAAAACAACTAGTGTTACAATATTACAAACAAGAACCTATCCAAACTTATCTGGGAATTCACTGGACTCAATATTACTAAGTAATCTTGCTAGCATACCCCCTTAAAAATGTAATAACGAGATCTTTTTAGAAAAAGCAGAACAATTATAGATATTGAATATTTTATTTCAATAAATAGTTCAGCTATGTTAGTGCATAATTTTGAGACCATCAACTATTATAAAGTAATTTTCTCTAAAATCATTTGTATTTCATTTACCATATAGGCATATCTAATATACATTTCAAAGATTGTTAATTATTTTCAACATCCTATTTTGTAAAGGTATTTGAGAGATGCTAAACACTAAACTGCAAAAATCTATTGTTATAAAATAACAATGCAATTTATTTTCTAAAGGAAAGGAGACCTTAGAGTAATTTTTCAAATGAAATACAGTATATAAATGCCACATAGCAGTCAAATGAATCCTGAAGTGGCATGGAAATCAATGACTAATATTCTCTATTTTTCAACATTTTAATGTAATTCTTCTTATAAAGAGAGAAAATGGAAAGATATGAAGTTTGAAACTTCATTAACCATGATTTCTTTTGGATCACTATACTAACCGAGTCAGTAAGAATTAAAATTAAAATATCAAAAGCATTGTGTATGCTTGTGACTTTACTAAATTTATTGTATAAAATTTAGTATTTTATACAATGGTAAAAGCAAACAAATGTAAACAAAATAAAAAGAACTAAAAAAAGGGAGCAAGGCAAGTGACTGAATAAAAAAAAGATAGAAGAAAGAAAAGTAGGAAAAAAGAACATATATAAAAGATTGGCTCCAATCTTCTTTACAGCAGTTACAAAATAATTACCTTCTATCCTCCTCCTTCAAGGTTATAACATAATTCCTTTCTTCCCATATCTTCTCTTTGTAATCATCAACTCCATAAATCACCACTTCATTGTTTTCCAGTTTTCAGCAAAAAGTCCATAAAGGGTTTCCAGTCACTCATAATTATACTTGTCTTCTCCCTGATCAAACAAGTAAGTTTTGCCATTTCTGCAAATCTATCATCTTTACTAACCACTCCTCTATCGTGGATATTTCAGAATCTTTCCATCTTTGTACATATACTTATCTCACTGCAGTTACTATGCACAAAAATGATGTTCCACAAGTCTTTTCCAGTTGACTATCCATAAGTCCTAACAGCCAATACACTGTTTTTGACGTGTTGGCACAAGGTAATCAATAATAGTTTCCTAAAAGGGAATGGCATAATCAGTCCATATGTGGCATATTGTAGCCATTTCCAATCTGGCATACTCCAGATATGTGTAATATCCTGAATTCCAAGCCATTAAACATTTATTTAATTCAAGGCAAAGATAGATGGCTGTATTAAAATGCTACCCATCAGTCCCTAAACCACCAGCAAAGTATATTGTCATAATATTGGTGAGGGGAAACACCCACAGTCATCCCCTCAGCTATTGTAATGAAATATGCCATATATTTATGGGGAAAGCCTTGTTGGGAAAATAGAGAAAACATTATTTTACAACTAGAACACCTGCAGACAACTGTAAACTGGCTTAGATGTAGGCAGAGGAGAAAATGAAAGCAGTATTTTGAATATCTGTCAGAGCTATTACTGGGGCAGGTTCATTTAAGGAAACACGAGGATGAACTGTTTTTGAAATAATTAGTTGTGTACTATTTGATAATCATAGTGTGCAATTATTACAAGCCCACTGCAAGGTTTTGTGAAGAAGCAGATGTATACTACATCAATTTAACTCTGTCTTCTAGGTAACCATTCCAATGCAATGCATTTGAAGCAACAGGTACCAAACGGGGAATCACTAAGAATGATTGTGCATGACAATTATTTTAAAAGGCTTTGCATTACAGTAAGAGAAGGTCTCCGAAATTCTGTACCAAAATGGTTCCAGTGATTTATATAATTAAATAACTTATAAAGGGCATTACGTTTCTCAAAACCTGGAGCCTTAGGGATTTTGCTGTGATATGCAGAGAAGAAAGAACTACTAAATCCACCAAACATCATAGCAATTGCAAGTTCAAATTCTGAATGGCCATAGAAACAAGATGGGTCAAAGACAATTGGTCCATAGTCATCTTCAGCTACATTTCCTGACCACAGGTCACCATGAACAAGTGCAGGAATTATTTGCATGTCATGAAACATTTCTGGAATCCTTGGCTGTAAAAAAAAAACATCATAAAAACACATAGCTTAAAAAGTGACCAAAGATTTTTTTTTTTAAAACTGAGAAAACTACAAGACAAATAGCAGAATATACATACAGATTCTAAATGTTCTTTTTTTATTTTTTAACCCTAGTTTTACAAACTGGATATATTACAAATTTTGTTGCTTTTACTGGCAACATTGGGCTTCTGTGACTTAGAACTATGACTTAGTCTAATGAAGTGAAATAGATAGGGTGGGATTTTTTAACACTTGGGACAATGTTTGTAATTTCCTTTGAGTATCTTCTACTGGTTTCAGAATGGTTTTAGATCACAGGCTATTATGAGGTGGGGGGCTAAGACAGAATGAGTAAGAGAAAGAACAACTCCATTAAATCAATTTTTTTAAAAAATGCAAATAATATCAAAGTTAGTACAGTTGTATGAAATGCAGTTCCATATTATGAATGGAACAGGATCATTAGATAAAGAAGGCAGGGGTTGAAGAATTAAAAGGAAACTGACACTGGGTTCAAACCTAACAGTTCAGTATTGTTACATTAAAATTAGCTAACTGACTGACTTTATATAATATTTCATTCCATCATGATTTACATTTCCCAAAGTCTGAATTCACCCATATGGAAAGTCAGAAACAAGCCACAGAGTGGCTTAGGGCAGTGTGGTCTCAAACATCACAAAAGTTTAGGATAGACCACTTACCTTCACTACCAGTTCGGAACTGTGAGCGTGCGCGTGCTTGCTTCGCTCGCATGTGGCATTTCTGCGCATGCACAGAACCTTCTGCGCATGCGCAGAGCGTCCGTGATGACGTCTGGGCAGGTGGGCAGCGCCTTCCACTGCCGCTACTGATTCACCCGAATTGGGGTGAACCAGTAGAAACCCACCACTAGGATAGACCAAGTTTGGGGTCTCCTTTCAAGTTAAGAAGTTTCAGTTCTGATTTATATACACCCATTTCTTACATTTCATTTTTATAACGGGGTTGAAAAGAAATAAAAATTACATCCAAGTCATCCCAAAAGGATTGTACAGCAATCAAATCGTAGCTAGAAAAAATACGTTAAAGAGCAACATATAAATGAAACTATAATATGCTAAATGCTGGTAGAATGATTAGAGTCAGAAATGCTCAATTGAATTTTAGCTTCTGCAGAGGCAAGTACTCTGTTATTTTCATTTGCTTTAATGTAACATTCTAACATTTTCTTCCTACCTTTAGCTGTTCCCACAACTCTCTTGCTTTTCTGTCTCCATAATCTCTTTCTATTAAATCCATTTGGGCTTGGAGGCGGTGTCGAATAAAAAAAGTAGGCCAGTCATTTTGCCACTCGTTGACCTGCAAAATAAAACTAGTAGGAAAATGATGCTATGAACTTATCAACTACAGTATAAAATCACCTTTTTTAAAAACTTGATTTTTGTGGCAATTGCAAAAATCCAGCCACAATGTCCCTTAGCAAAACATGGATACAAAAATTCTATGTTCTGTTTACAAAAAAAAAATTGTATGGCCAATTAAGATGCTGGAAGTAATGTTGGGCTTTAGATGCAGGTCACAAAACAAAATGATTGCAACTATTTAAGAAAATATTTACTCCCTTTCTTCCTTACACCCGCCAGATATAAAAATATCTAAATAATTTAAGTTCAGTAGTCTAGAAGGAGATAATAGTTTTACAATTAGCACTCTTAATATCTTATATCATATATTTTGATCGAAGAACTTACCTGAGTTATATTGCCGTAGCAGGTGACCTGATGAAATCCAAATTTATCCACATAATTAGGTTCTGTCTGGCCTACTCCTAGCAAAATAAACTTACAAAAATAAAACTGCAAGCAGTAAAATAGAAGCACTTATTTTCTCTACTTATTGAGCAACTCATAAATGAATCCTACTGAGTTCCGTATCAAGAAATAGTTTTCATACTGCAGCCTTAGATGGAATACAGATATCCTCACTTTCAACCACATGTTCAGTGACTGTTCCAATGTTACAACAGCACTAAAAATGGAGACTTAAGACCAACCAGTCCTCTACGTTGCAGGCTTCATGGTGTCCCTGAATTCATGAGATTGGAAACTGGCACACGTTTACGAAAGTTGCAACATCCAGTGGTAATGTGACCACCATCCATTTGTGATTTCAGAGCCAACTTCTAACAAGCAAGTCAGTGGGGAAGCTGGCAGGAAGTTGCAAATCAAGATCATGTGACATTGTGCTTAACCCATAGTGATTCGCTTAATGACCATGCAGGAACTGAAGAACTGATGTCATAAGGCAGCTGCAGTCATGTGAGGTTTCACTTATGACCACATCACTTAGCAACAAAATTGCAGTCTCAACTGTAGATGGTAAGTGAGAACTGAGGGGTCCTTGATGTTGTCCGAGTTCTTTTCTTACAGACATTTCATTATTCAACCTAGGTAATATCACCAATTCTAGGGCTAGCAACTAGCCCTGATGATTTATCTAGTTTGGGTAATGAACATCTGCAAGAAAGCAGCCTAGCTCAGGGGACACCAAGGGTCCCTCATTTAAACTCTGAGTTACAAATAATCTCCTTTATTGGTAAATGAGAACTACCTATATTGTACAGTACAAGAATTGAAAATCTTGGAGTTAAGTACTATAAAATACATTGGACTTATGCCTGATCAGGTTTGTTTTGCACATATACTTTTTCAAAATCAATAATAATGTCCATTTTCTGACAGAACAGAAGCAAATAGCAATATTATAAAGAAAAAAGTAAAGGGAAGCATATTACCGTATTTTTCGCTCCATAAGACACACTTTTTTTTTGCCCCCCAAAAAAGGTGGGCAGTGCTGGTCCTTTGGTGAATAGCAGCCGGGCTGCAGCAGTGGGGTTCTTTTACAGTATTGAACCCCACCTCTTCTATCTCTTTTCTGCAGTGCAGGACTCAATAGGCAGAGGTGACACATGAGAGGCCACCTATCTGTGGTCCTCTCAGGCTCCACCTGATTTTTTTTTCTTGTTTTCCTCTTCTAAACCTAGATGCATCTTATGGTCAGGTGCATCTTATGGAGTGAAAAATATGGTAATTCTATCTATCATCTATCATCTATCTATCTATCAATCATCTATCTATCTACCTACCTACCTATCTATCTACCCATCATCTATCTATCTATCTATCTATCTATCTATCTATCTATCTATCTATCTATCTATCATCTATCTATCTTTAGGCCCATGAGCTCTAATAATTACATCAGCTTCCATCTAAAGTTGTGCTCAAAATCTGTTAATTATTAGTAACTCCTAGTTCATAAGAACTATACTGTACCAATTGTTTGTTCTTTTTTCCTTAGCTTTTCTCCATTTTCTTTATTGTAAAGATGAAGATCTGCCATTTGTTCTCCAAGTTTTGCTGAATATCTAGAAGGAGAAGAAAACAAACTCCAATGTTATGGACCATGTGGTTCCAAATCAGCCTGAACAGAGATTTTATACACATGCATGCTCACACATATATAATTTAGAAAATAATTACTGTATCTGCACAACACATTAGCCTCTCGTTACCCTCTCAATAGTTTATTAATCATCAGCAATCGGTGTAAGCTTAGTATTATTACAAATGTTCTGTCCATAGAGTTTTATCTCTTGACAGGGGTTTCAGGACACTTAGCTTTCCACCACCCCTCTCTCCTCCAGGAAAACATAAAAATCCTGATCCCTAAGATTATTTTGCTCCCAGTCAGACACTGTTTCATGGTAGTAACATGCAGACTCTTTTCAGAACTGCCATTGTTAAAAGAAGAGGGATGTTAATTAGAGAAGCAACATCTTAAAATAAAGCCTTTAACATACTTGTTGAGGCTTTTCATTTTTATGTACTCCATAGCAAATGCGGCTCCACCTCCAGGAAGATCCATCACTTTAATTGGCTGAGGAACCCGTATGGTGTTGGTTTTCTGAATTTCTCTTAAACTTGCTATTTCACCTTCAAGCATAATCCTAGCCTGGTCAGAAAGAAGAATATAATTTAATAAAAATTTGGTTGCATGTTAGGATTTTGCAGGACAGAAAAAAAGAGTTGTTCTTCTGATTTGTGTTTCAAGAATTCAGTCAATTCTTTAAATATATATGGATATGAACCTGTTGTATCCCCAAAACAAAAATAAATATACCCCAAATACCCAGGGGCAGGTGAAAGAAGAGTTGCTCAGTAAACACCTACGAAATAGGTGCCCATAGACCTTTTCTTTGATACATACCAGGCGCTCAGTTCATTCTACTTGTTTTAGATTCATTCAATTCACAAACCTGAACAAAATAAATAAACATGAAATCAGAGCATACTGCTAAAGAATGTTCCAGTCTCCAGAGCATCTTTATTTCAAAAAATGTCTCTGGCCCAAATAGGCATTCTTAGAAAATAAAAATGGTGGATAGCTATAACCCCCCTCCTTTTTGGGAGGGGGAAGTGTCCCACAAAAGGAAATCGGGGCACTAAATTACATCTTTAGAGAACACTAGAGAACCTGGGACCCATTGGGGTTTTTTCCACATATAATATAGGTTTATTTCCTCTGCCCTCAGGGGATGCGATGGCTCAGTGGCTAAGATGCTGAGCTTGTCAATCAAAAGGTCGGCAGTGCAGCGGTCCAAATCCCTAGTGCTGCGTAACGGGGTGAGCTCCTGTTACTTGTACCAGCTTCTGCCAACCTAGCAGTTCAAAACCATGCAATAAATGCAAGTAGAAAAATAGGGACCACCTTTGGTGGGAAGGTAAGTGTTCTGTGCACCTTTGGCATTTAGTCAGGCCGGCCACATTACCACGGAGACGTCTTCGGACAGTGCTGGCTCTTCAGCTTTGAAATGGAGATGAGCACTGCCCCTTAGAGTCGGGAATGACCAGCACATATGTGCAAGGAGAACCTTTACTTTTACCTTTACCTCTGCCCTCACAACTCTCCTCTTCCTGGACTGAACTTTGAAACTGCTTGCTAAAGGAACAAAGAGAGCTGCACCCCCATCCCAGTGAGGAAGAAAATGGGTTCTGGTTTGTCCCCAAAGGTCCCTTCCCTCCAATAAGGAAGAGAGTTCAGCTATCAATCACGAATGCCCACACCTCACAAGTAGCCCTATTCTTGCAGACATCCAAGTCATTCCTTTGTTCTGCCTTCACCAGCCATTAATAGATTTCAGTTTTCAGCCTCAGGTTCAAAGCAGCCAATGGCCACTCGCCATCACCTTGCTACCTGCCAGTTAGACACAGGGGTCAGAGGAAGATAGAACAGAGGATAGGAAAGAGGTCCATCTTCCCTTGCACCATGCAGCCACTGGTTTTTGGGAAATACAGGAGGGAAATGCAGTTGGATGGTGGTGTTAAAGTGGTGACAACTTTGCCAAATTTCAGTCCCATGGGAATTATAGGTCCCAGATTTTGGATGAATTCTGTAAATTAGCTCATCTGAGGTACATTAAAAGAAAGTTGCTCTGTGTTGCAATGTTTAGCCCAATTGAGAATTACAAACTATCAAACAGACATAAAATAGTAGTATATGGATGGGATGAGGAGCAATCCTGAATTTGCCCTCTCATAAAGTGTGATTTGTGACTCTTTATGAAAATACTGACAGCATGCTCTTATAACTCCTATTATGACCATCAACCCAAGTTTTTTCATCCTTGCAATAAGCTAATGGAAGAATTATCAACTCCTCTTAATAAAATAGTAGAAAACATTTGTTAGCAGATGAATACATTTGGATATACTGGTTATCAACTAGAATGTGCTTTGGAATAAGAACATGCAAAGGTAAATATATTCTGTACATATTCAACCCACTAGGACTCTGTGGTTTAAAAGGAATGCAATCATGATTAAAATGTGAAAAATCAGGATTTTTTTTTTTTAAATCCAAATGCTAATGATAACATTCTGTAAAAGATGAAATGTATTTTTATATTTGCTTCATATAAAAATGAAATTTTTTTCAGAGAAAATAATTAGCGTTTGACTTTATTGATGGATTTTATTGTAATTTCTTTGATTGTTCTGTCCTTAGGTGAGACAGCATACAAGCTATTATTGTTAATGTAAATTCCCAGTACCGAAAGTGCTTTGAAAGAATGACAAGGCAGGAGATAGGTTTCCATCACCAAAAAAATAATAATAATAATGTGCAGGTGCTAAAATGTAATCAAATGTTTGCTTAATTTGGTTTAATCGCATTAAGTGGCCAGCGAGACTCAGTGGGAGATTCCATGAGGATTAGAGCAGAAGAGCGAATTAGTTAATTAGTGCAAATTTCCAGGACTACTACCGCTGATTTCACCACCCACCCACCCACCGCCAAACAGATGCAGATCAAGCCGCGGAGAAAATCGAAACGCCCCTTTAAAAACGGAATTCGCTTCGCCCATCCTGTGCACCCTTATTGCAAGCGGTAAAAACGACAGGGAGCAAAACAAAACAGCTGTGTCACAAGGTGTCTATCGCCGCCTCTACCAGCCGATTGCCCTCCCAGTCCCCGAGCTTTCCCAGCTGCAGTATTTTAAGTAGCTAACAAGAGCTGTCGCCACAGTATCGTCAACCTGGGGCTTGGTGTTGCTTTTAACAAACACTCGTCCTCCGTCGGTCTCGTAGGCTTGTCCTTGGCATATGCACCCTCCTCTTGAGCCACCCAAGAGCTTCAAAACGGTGGTTTTCAGTTCGGATTTCAGCAGGTTTTCCATGGTTGTGAAATGCCGCCTTGTCTCTTTCGGATTCTTGCCTTCGGTGACGAGCGGACGTTCGTATTACGGCTCTTTTATCTCTTTGCGGCCAAACGCAAACTGAACCGCAAGAAACCATATAGCGTAACTTTGCAGGCCGGGCGCGGAGGACGGGGCGGGAGGATAGGAGGACTCGGTTAGTGGGCGCTGCAGGACTGACGCTCGCTATGCAAGGTAGCGGTTCTAGTGCAAAGGAAAGCAGAACGGCCGTAGGCTTGAAAAGCAAGTTTTTTTTTAAAAAAACAGCCATTCTTGCAATAAAGTGGGTTCTTAACGCCGCTAACGAGGGGGAGTCGGAGAGCCTCTGGAAGCCCGCCGAGAGCGCTTGATCATTCTAGTTTGTCAATATTAGGTTTTTGGTGGCGCTTTTTTTTTAACTCCTTCCCTTTTTATTTGAAACTAGGTTACACGATAGTAACCAGCTAGCTCTTAGAATAACTAATCCATGACCTCAGTGCCTTCCGCCGTGCCCTTAAAACCTTCCTTTTCCAACAAGCCGGGCTGGCCTAATTCTTTTTAAGTGTTTTTAATTGTTTTGTTTATTGTTTTAATTAATGGGGCCAAATTTATATATATATTTTTAACTGTATTTTAATATTTGTATTTGATGTTTTTATTTGGCTGTTCACCGCCCTGAGTCCTCAGGGAGAAGGGCGGTATACAAATTCAAAAATAAAAAATAAAAAAATAAAATAAACTTTATTGTCACTTGGAATGTACACTAATCGGCATACATTAAAATGAAATTTCGTTGTATGCAGCTCTCCAAGGGTCACCACTCCAATATACACTTCATAAACATGACAAAATAAATAAAATGCATATACCCACGTTTTATATAACATAGAGAAACAACACAGTCTAGTTTATTTATTTATTGGTTCAATTTATATGCCGCCCTTCTCCGGAGACTCAGGGCGACTTACAATATCTTAAGCAATAGCCTTCATACTTTGGTATATACCTGCTTAGTAGGGCTTTTGGGCCCCCCTAAGCGGTGTTCTTTTTTATACAAAGTCAGCTTATTGCCCCCACAAACCGGGTCCTCATTTTACCTACCTCAGAAGGATGGAAGGCTGAGTCAACCTTGAGCCTGGTGAGATGTAGTTCAGATGTATACATGGAACTAGGAGGAATGCACTTCAATTTAAAGTACAGCGAAGTTTTTATGAAATAGATGGTTGCAAGATGGACTATGATGTGAAAGATGCTGGTCTTTAGAGTTTGTCTCTCTGAAATTTCCTGAATCTAGAATTCGTAAAAGCTGAATTTGGTTTTATTGATTATCAAGTTAAAATACTTCCTTTTCAAGATTAGAGGTATTGTATTGTAGATTGTAAAATTGCCATTACATAAGGGGACAAGCAATCAGAAGCCCCAAAACTGGGCCTTGGTAGCTGGGCCATTTGAAATAAGACTACCTATTTATAGTATACTTAAATATGAGTCAGCAGTGTGCTGCTGCTGTCAAAAAAGCCAATGAAGTCCTAGGCTGCATTAACAGGGATAGAATCAAGATCACACAAAGTATTAGTACCAGGGGTGGGTTCTAAATTTTTTTACTACTGGATCTGTGGGCGTGGCTTATTTTGTGGGTGTGGCTTGGAGGTCATGTGACTAGCTGGGCGTGGCTAGCTGGTCAGAGTCATTTCTGGAAGGTCCTCGCATTTACCACCCGACTCATTTGTTTGCTTTTAACACTGATCAGCTGTAGGAGGGCCCTTTGAAGCCCTGCGGCAAGAGTTTAAACAGTTTTTTTCCCTCTAGTCATCAGCTGGGACTTAGGAGGTAGCAATAGATTGGGAGTGGGACCAAATAAAAGGTAAGAATAATGTGGGGGGGTGGGAGGGGGGAAGAACCGGTTTGGTGACATCATATCGTCACCGCTACCGGCTCAACCGGACCGAACCGGGAGGAACCCACCACTGATTAGTACCAGTGGTGGGTTGCCTCCGGTTCGGACCGATTCACAAGAACCAGTAGTAAAACCGGCGGGAGGCCCCGCCCACCACCCTGGATGTCATTGGCGATCTGCGCATGCGCAGGAGCAAGCACGCACAATCCCATTGTGAACCGGTAGTAAAGGTAAGTAGAACCCACCCCTGATTAGTACCACTTTATAATGGCTTGGTAAGACCACACATGGAATATTGTATCCAGTTTTGGGCATCCTGATATAACAGATGTTGAAACTCTAGAAAGAGTGCAGAGAAGAGCAACAAAGATGATTAGGAGGCTGGAGGCTAAAACATATGAAGAATGTTTGCAGGAATTGATATCTAGTTTAACAAAAAGAAGGACTAGGGTTGACAAGATAGCAATATATCCATTGATGTGTTCCAATATTTGAGGGGGGTCCACAGAGGAGACGAGGCCAACCTATTCTCCAAAGCACCTGAAAGTAGAACAAGAAGAAAGGGGAAAGGGAAAGAAAATGGAAAAGTTTTATTTTAATCTCCAAACCAAAATGTAGTGTTCTGATTGGGATGGAACAGGAAGCAACAGTAGTATTCTTCATTGCATCCTTTCCACCTTCATTTTCCAAACTCAGCACTAGTTTGGAATGGAAAACTGAAGCTCCAGAATTGCCCATCTGGAGATCACATCAATGGATATATTGTCTGAATGTTGCAGCTGACTTGCCTCCATTTGAAAAGCTATTTGATTTCAGAGGGTGTGTGGGGGGATGTAATCTATTTCTTTTGCAACCGCTTCCATTCAGAATCAACCTGCCCTTAACTGCATACAGTAGCTACTTTTTAGTCTTTGTTCCTGTCACTAGAATGTGCCAGAATAATAGAAGAATGTGATGGAATGTAAAAAAAAAAAAAGAATAAATGTTATTAAAGAAATATATGTATATCTACAGTGTAGTTGGAGAACATCTAAAATCATTTGCATACTAAAAGCTCACTGAAACAGAAATTCTGAATAAAAAAAGAAGTTTCCAAAAGGAGAAGGGAGATATCCTTGATACTGACTGATTCAACAGCCAGTTAGAGCCACTTCTCCCTGAGAAGATCGGTTTATATGCTGTCCCAAGTACCATACCTTGTGTTAATTTGCAAGTGTCACTCTGGCCTTTTTAATCTATGCCTAGCATATTGCCCAATTCATTTAAACACTGTAAACATTCACATTAGAGTCACCTAAATCCTAATTCTCTGGTGTTTAGCCAAATTTAGAGGCTGATTCAGGGGTGAAATCCAGCAGGTTCTAACAGGTTCTAGAGAACCAGTAGCGGAAATTTTGAGTAGTTCGGGGAACCTGTAGTGGAAATTTTTAGTAGTTCAGAGAACCAGCAAATACCACATCTGGCTGGTCCCAGAGTGGGGTGGAAATAGAGATTTTGCAATATCCTTCCCCCAGGAGTGGGAAGGGAATGGAGATTTTGCAGTATCCTTCCCCTGCCATGCCCACCAAGCCATGCCCACCAAGCCACGCCCACAGAATCGGTAGTAAAAAAAAATGAATTTCACCACTGGGCTGATCCAAAGCGTTCCCTGAGAAAATCAATTCTCTGCAGAATTGCCCAAGAAAGAAAGTATCCATAAGTAAATGTGGCTACCTATTAAGATTAGTTTATGTATTCAAAACTAATAGTACGATTTAAAAAAAAAAAAAAGTTTAAAAATTTTAAGTTGTCCTAGAATGTCAGATGTCTCAAGAGCTGAAAATGCTGCTAGTCTATACAGCGTTATTAATAAATGTTGTAATTGTAAATATTGCCTTGGATTACATTTGATAGATAATTTTTGTCTCTTAACACAAAAGTATATTAAAAATTCATCTTCATCATGAATTAATTGATCCAAAAATCAATATTCCAGCTTACATCCAATTTTTCTGTGTCGCCACCTTGTCATCAATTTTTAAAGTTGGATTTGCCCATAATGTCAATTTGGCATGGGAAAAAAGGTTGAATCTTTTTTTAATTTTAATCACTGTTGACTCCTGGCAATTATCTGCAGAAGTTCCTGCAAAGTTTGCAGAAGTGGTTCCCATTGCCTGCTTCCTAGGTCTGAGGAAAAAATGACTGGCCCAAAGTCACCCAGGTAGCTTCATGCTTAAGGTGGGACTAGAATTCATGGTCTCCCAGTTTCTAGTCTGGTGCCTCAATCACCACACCAAAGTAGCTCTCACTTGGCATCTAGTTAATTTAAATTTAAGCTATGTTGTAGCTAGCATTAAAAACAAAACAAAGTCTTCCACAGTTCACTATAATTTCTCTGAGGCAACCATATCCAACATTGAGCTAGGCCTTGTTCTTCTCATATTTGCATTATCAGAGGTCCCTGATACCTTTGCTGCAGCAAAGTATTCATTTTTGCATGGAATGAACCTCTCTTATGAGACAAATGGACTTTAAGATTTGTTAGCAAAAACGTGTCAACTATAAAGAATTACCTAAAGGTCTGTTTACACAGTACGTGGCAGGTCCTGCAAAGAAATATGTATTCTATGAAAACACAGAAAAGGCTAAAAGGAGGTTTCTTACTCAAAGGCTAATATACTATTTAGGTAGCCTTTTCCATTACATAGTTGTCCTGTTCCTGAACTTTCAAGCAATAGTCTTAATTGCAGTGCAGGTTTTAGATGCTGGCCTGGCCACAAAATACTAGGACCTAATGTGATTTCTTAGTTTTTAGTGTAACACACTATGCTAACCCATCCATTCTAGTAAAGAACCAATAGTTTGTTCAAGAATCCATAATTTTAAAAAAGAGTTATTTACTGCTGTGTCATTTTCATCTTTCCAGATATATGAAAGCAGTAACCTAAACATGCAATTCCTTTTTAGTTGCATGGGAATATGTGTTTCTTCTTCACCCTAAAAGAGGAAGTTTAGTTTTTAAGGGACATTAAAATACTTTCCCTATGTTTATTTAAATAACATGTTAGAAATGCAGTCTTATGCATCTCTGCTTAGATGTAAGTGTGACTAAATGAGAGCTACTTTGGTGTAATGGTTAAGTCATCAGGTTCAGTGGTGGGTTCCTCCCGGTTCCGCCCGGTTCCGCCGAGCCGGTAGCGGTGACAATATGACGTCACCGAACCAGTTCTGCCTCCACCTGCCCCCCCACCCCCACGTTACCTTACCTTTTATTTGGCCCCACCCCCAATCTATTGCTGCCTCCTGAGTCCCAGCTGATGGGCTATAAAGAAAAACTGTTTAAATTCTTGCTGCGGGGCTTCAAAGGGCCGCCCTACAGTTGATCAGTGGTAAAAGGCAGTTTGGTGGTAGACGGGTGCCTCCAAAAACAAATGAGTAGACCGGTGCCTGCAAAAATAAATGGGTAGACCGGTACAGCTCTGCAAGCAGTTAAAAGCCTGGTAGACCAGTACTTCTGCTAAATCCTAAAGAATTGTCACATGACCATCAAGCCATGCCCACAAAATAAGCCACGCCCACAGAACCGGTAGTAAAAAATTTTAGAACCCACCCCTGATCAGGTTAGAATCCAAGAGACCAAGTGTTCTAGTCCTGTACAAAGCCAGATGGGTCATCTTGGCCTAGTCATTCTCAGCCATAGGAAAGAGGCAAGGGCAAACCACTGCCAAGAAAATTGTGAGGTCTCCACAACTGAATAGAAGGGGAAAACAAAGTACAATTAAGCTTGATGGGATTTACTCTCAGGTGAGTGCAGACAAGGCTGCGCCTCCATATCTTAACTCAAGTGATGTTTCCAAACGTCATTCCTTTTCCTCAATAATCCCTGTGACTCCTAGGCTTGGTCTTCTGTCTCTAACTGTTGCCAGAGTCTTTAGTGACTGAGACATGGGGGCATATAGGGACGGGATTTCTGTTTTAAAGGGACGTCTAGACTTCTCTCTCCAGACACATTCCTTCAGTTTTCCTCCCACTCTGGATTAGGCTGTGTTATCATTAGTACACTGGAGCCCTTTCAAGATCAATAAAAAACCACAGTGAAAACTCACTGCGTGTGCCTACGTGCTCCTAAGACTAGAGTGCTTGATGAGTTCTTCAGTGTTTTACTTTTGAGAAGAACATGCTACAGAGTTGCTGGTTTATTTTAAAACATATACTGCATAAATGCCTAGTTTTTCTGGAAACCACTTTCAGCAAAGTATACATTCAGACAGGCAAATTATGCATCTTTCTCACACATTACAGTTAAGCAGGTAAACTTGCTTTAGCAAGGTAAATTTGCTAAAATCTTGTCATCTAATGTAGATTTTGAAGTCTTTCTTAAGGTACTCCCGGTCTCTCCCAGTCTTATTTCGGAACTTGCTCTGGAAACCTATATTCATAATAACACTGAATTATGGTTTAATAATGAACATGCTTGCCTGAACTGTGTATGTACAAAATCCTAAACCATCAGCTAGCCAAGAACATATTAGCCTTGTATATTGGGTGAACCCAGCATAAAAGATTATCTAAAAATCCTTGGCAGTGAATTAGACTGGACTAGAAATAATTCAAATTTGTTTACAATCTGGATGGGATAAGGCATGCTCAGATTAAATCCTTCCAAGAATCGAGCCACTTGTCATCAGTAAACATGTCAGTAATCCAATGACATCAACCCCAGTAGTTAATCTGGGCTGATCCATCTCCCCTCCTCAAAAAAGAGGGGGTTCACAACTTGGAGATACTCCTAGATTCCTGGCATCGGTCAGGAGGGTGCTTTACTCAGCTTTGGCTGATATACCACTTACCAGCCTACCTGGACCAGTATGCTCTGATATCACTGACTCACATACCCAGTTAGTCTACTAACACATGTTTTATATGAGTATTGCTTGGGAAACAATCCAGAAATAGCAACTTGTTGAAAAGGTAGTGACTGCCATGATCAGTCCTGCCAGGCTCAAATAACACCAATTTTAAAACTTCTGCATTAACTACCAAGGAGCTAGGTTCAATTCAAAGTGATGGTTATTACTTTAAAAGCCATTTCTAATGCAGCAGCAGAATATATAACATCTTACCTGAACTGAATCTGCCTATCTAGTCTAGCAAAGCCTACAGAGCATATCTTATTCCAAGAGAAGAACATGGAAGGTAGATTAATACTCAATATTAGCCTCTACCCTTTCAAGATATATGTGGTCCTTTGTTAACTTTTCAGAAGCAAAATTGTTTTGTTTCAGCATCTTTTTGGGCCCAGTTAATTTGAGTTGTAATGCCAGTTATGGTTGTTTACCTGGAAATGTAGATTTTTGTTTTATATCAATTTTTGATTCTTGTATGACACTCGGAGTCCTTTGGAATTAGCGAACTCTAAAAATAGTTAAATAAATACAGAAATATTCATTTATACTAAGTCTCACTGAATTCTGTGTCCCTGGTGTATATTGGATTGAGAGCTGCCAAAAGTTGGGTGAAAGATGGGCGGCTATACCAAAATGTTTTAAATAAATAAAATTAAATTGTTTATTTGCTGTTCGTGTTTATGCAATAACCTTGTAACATAAATCTTAACTGAAAATATCACTGTAGCTTCCATGTTAAAATGAAAAAGAGTGGAATATTTGAATACATTACATTTAAAAATAGAACATGAAATGACATTGTGAGACTCATCTGCAAATACCCTTGTTACCAGTATTACACCATGCTTCATATTCATCACCTTCTTCTCTTATATACATTATTCATGATTTTGGAACTATTTACAGTGGCAAATTTCTTAACTTGTGCTATTAAGTTAAAGAAGCAAATTGATGTGAATTCATAAAGGAGCATTGAGATTGATTAAGAAAGTCATATATTTTTAAGATTTTAAAATAATATTTTAATTTGTTGTCATCTATAGATTGTTTACAGTATATAAACAAACTAAATATATCTTAAAGATGTTTTCCCCTCAAGATAGTAAGTTCAAATAGGAAAATAACTAAACATGGATCCAATACTTGCTCCTACTACTTTTGCTAATTCAGTCTCCATATCTCTTCTAGTACTTCTTTTCCCTTACTGTTTGTAGAAAGGCCATGGTATGGTAAGCCAATTATTCAAATGAACAACAAGGAGAACTTGTCAATCACAGCCTGATCACAATATCTCAAATTTCTGCCTGCAGAATTTGACAGTGGCAAAAAGTGTACAGAATTTGCCATTGCAAAAGTTAAACATGTTTTCCCCTGCAAGATTTTGTAGGGATTGGATGAAAGGACAATCTTACTCTGCTTTTAGCAGTAGCAATTGCACTTAGATTTATATACTGCTTTCTAGTGCTTTATAGCCCTCTCTAAGCAGTTTACAGAGTCAGCATATTGCTCTCAACAATGTGGGTCCTCATTTTACTGACCTCGGAAAGATGGAAGGCGGAGTCAACCTTGAGCTGGTGAGAATTGAACTGCTGGCACTCGGCAGAATTATTCTGCAGTATTGCATTCTAATCACTGCACCACCACAACAGGATTGTCTTTCCAGGATCCTAGAAAGGATAGAATTCCTATGCATCTGATATGGTGATGTACTGATTGAAAGGAGAAAGGTCCAAAATGAAAGTATTTTTTGACTTTCTATTGTAGATATCTATGCAGACCATCTTCAGTTACTCCCAATCACTTGATTTGGCCATAATGGTAGGCCAAGCAATTACAGTATCCATAATGGCATAACTGATAATACATTCATTGTCCTGAAAGCAGCAGAAATGTCCAGATTCTCCTAACATGCCAATAAAAAGACAGGTAGGGCATTTTAGCAATTCTATTGGTTCAGTTGAAACTAAAAATGTATCCTTCTCCTGCTTTTGAACTACAGAATTTTTTTTTGACAAGGGAAAAAAAAATCCAACTATAATCCACCAGACTGTGACTTTCCATGTCAACCAAAGCTAGCATTGCTTAAATTCTGATATTGGCAAGCAGCCTTACATTCCCTAGTCTGAATCCTAACCACGTCAGGGACAAATCTAGAAATAGGCATTTTTGTTGGAAGGGAAATATGTGAAAGTCAAAATAATCTTTCAAAACTGGATGGATGCAGAGACAGCATCTGATTTCAAAACATCATTCTGCCAAGCACACAGAGTGAAGGGGATCAATCCCTCGTCTTCCCAATTCTGACTTAGTCCATTTACTATTGTTCATAACAACAACTGAGAATCTAGATAACCACTCACATAGTTTTCCTTGGAAAACATGGTTCTCTCCAACATGCCAGAACTCTTTCTCCTTCCCCAAATTGGAAACGGAAATCTGAATGTGAATCCAACATTCATGAGCAAGGCAAACCAAGGCAGTCCATGCCAGAGCAATATGAATGATGGAAACTGTTTGTATAGCAGCCAGACAGTCACCATAAAAACAAACCAACAAATTACTGATCTCTCAAATAACTCTGCCATTATGCCTCATAGGGCAGATTTTTCACTTGGCAACAAAGCTGTTGCTTCATAGTTTTGCTGTGATGATTCTGTTATCACAGATACGTCACCTGGTGCCTGACTCATTAAGACAAGTTAGAAAATTGAAAACATGTGAACCCCAAATTGGTTCTGTATCCTAACAAACTATAACCTATCCCAACTGGATGTCCTAAACTATCTTCTTTCTTTTCCTCAGTGCCCTTCCTTTTACAAAAAAAGAGCAGGGTAAACACAAAGAATCTGACTGAGTTTACACACCATACTAAACCATCATGTGGCTTGCTTGGTGATAGTTTAGCATGAGCCATTGACTGGGTTAGAGTTAGGATTACATATCATAAACCCTGATTTGATACATGGTTCCCAAGTGCATTAAATTATTTATTGTATGGTTAATATATCTTTTAACTAAATTTTCACAGCCCCGAAACAGCACCTGTATTCATCGCAATGGACAAATGCACTACTCTTCTGAAAAGTCAATTCTATATCCAGAATCTCTACTTAATATTTTAAGAATGTCCTAAATTGGTTCCCTAAACTGCTGAGGGAAAATGAACCATAAAGAATTCAAAGCAGAGAAGGTACATTTTACGTCATAGTTCCTTTTTGAACTTTTAAATATAGACCTACAACTTCCTTTAAATGTCTCCTTTAAATTTTAAACCAGAATAAGGAACAACTCTAAGGATCTTTTCCCTTTTCCCCTGAAAATAAAATGATTATTCTCACTTTTGAAAAAATGTTTTCCATATCAAGCTCATCATGTCAAGTGAGGCTGTGCACAGAGGTTGGTCCAAAAAGGCAAGCCAGAACCTTACAATAAGATGTTTTCTGCTTCCTTCATTAATGAATTGGTTGGTATTAATATGAAATAAAGTTTTTGCTTTATTTAAAAAATGTAATATACCTCCTCTGCAGAAATGAACTTAATTGTTTATAATGTTACCTATTAGAGTAATATTGTGTAAGGTGTTTAAAATTGTAGTAGACAATCTTTTTTTACAAGCTGAATGTGCTGTATTGTGTAGATGCAGCTTATTGGCTTTATATTACCTAGTTGAAACTTCCTCCAAAGATTTCTAGAATTATAGTTTGGGAAAGATACAGAAAGTGTAGCTTTCCCTCTCATAGCTCTACAATTCTCAGGATTCTCTAGGGAGTAAGAACAGCTGTTAAACTATTTTATCTCGGCAGATTTGTGTTTTGCTTCAGTCCCAAAAAGAGAGCTTGCATTCTGTGAAATCCCTTCTCTTTCTACACTGATGCTGCCTGAATGTGTAGCCGTCCTCCAGGTGGCAGCATTTACTATCTGTTGAGTACCTAACCTTGTAGCTCAGAAAATTCCTCTTGGTTTAACTGCCAGAAGTTGCCATTCACCTGTACTAGCTTTGGAGAGCAAGCAAAAGTTGAAAGGGGCAAAAAGATTGTAATTGGTACTAGGGGAAATGAAAATTAATCATGATACTATTTCTGAGATGAGGACATTAATTCTTCGGGTTTGTAGCCTAACTTTTTAAGTATTTCCATGTCTGTAGAATAAGATATGGGCTGCAAAAATCTGGCTGATTACCAAGGGGAGCAGTGGTTTAAAATTTTTGGTACTGTATTTCTCTTTGCTATTGTCTGGATTTTTGCAGTCCAACTCTGGTGGCCATAGTAATGACATTATTGGGTAATAGGAACTTAATTCCCCCGAAATAAAAATTTACTTTTCATATGGAAAGACAATAGGAGACTGGGAAAAGAAATGCTGCCTAAGGTATAATCAGATAAGAAACAGCATAGCCTGAAGCTGGATAGTGAGCAAGAGGACTTTCTTAGTTCCTCAGGCTGTAAAGGAAATGGAAGGAGAACTGTACTTGCAAGATACTTTTAATGTAGCTTTGCAATAAAGTTGAATTAGCTTATCTGGTCATGTTTTTTTTCCTCCCCTGATAAGGTTGACAAGGAAATCCTTGTTGTTGCATTTTGCTTGATACATTTATATATCATAAATAATATTTAAATAAAATTTAAATATAAAGCAGTCGACAAAAACAAAGATACAAAGCAGGAGAGGTAAATTTAAATTCTATAGAAAATAATGTTTTAGGAAAATTGTGAATGTATAAGCATTAGAAGAAAACAATGCAGGGTTAAATAGGTTAGCCTAAGTCATAAAACATGCATGCAGGTAGGAAAAAGGAAGACCCTGGATACTGGCAAGCTTCCTTAGTTTCTTGCTTGGGAGAATTCTTGGGGATATTTCGGTAACTGATTCATGTTAACATAAGGGCACGATATCTCAGAGCTGCTTAAGGCTTTAACACTATGCTAATTTTCTGATGACCAAGGAGCCGTATTCCTATATAGACAGAGAGAGAGAGAGAGATAGACAGAGGGAGAGAGAGAAAGAGAGAGAGAGAAGATATATATATAGAGAGAGAGATAGACAGAAAAAGAGAAAGAGAGACAAGAGACACACACAGAGAGACTTTTTGATTGTAAGCTACTTGAGGCTGAGAAGAATTGTTGCAAAACTGAGTTTCCTGATCTAGTAAAAAGAAAAGTCAACCAAAAGAGCAACATGCAAACAAAACCAAAAAGATACACCCCCAGAAGCAAAACAAATTGAAGTTTAATTTGTGTGCATTGTTTAATGGACTGTTAAATTGGCCACACCCACCCAGTCACATGACCTAGCCATGTCCACCCAGTCACATGACTATCTAGCCATGCCCACTCAGACAGTCCTGTCAGGGCCCCCAACAGGGACTGTGAATTGGCCCCCTGTTTAAAAAGTTTGAGGACCCCTGCTATAGACCTAGTAGTGTTGTACTTTATCAAAATAGATAGCAGCATCTAGTTAACTTTGATTGACCTCAGAATATCTGAACAGGGTTTGATTGGGTTAAAACCTGAATAAAAAAAGTCCAGCAGAAAACCTCTTGGCTGTAGGGTAAACTGAGAAGTCGAAGAAAATATTTTTTTTAAAAAAAATGCCAAATGATGCTATGGTCAAAGCTTCCATATCACTGCCAAAAAGACTGTACAGAAGTATCCATGTAGTCACCTGGAGTTGGGCCTTTATTTTTATCTCATATCCCAAATTACATTAGAAGTTTCTCCTGGCTACGTGTTATCTAACACAAAGTGCTGATGACACGTAATGCAGGTCCAAAGCCTTACTCCTAAAACATAAAAGCTGGTCCTTGCTAGAGCATTCAGTTTTCTGTTATTATTCAGTAGATTAGTTGGGCCAAAATCCCTGGCTCTGTTTCTGCCCCTCCTCAAAAATTTAACTTACTACTCTATCAGGTCTGACTTCTTTTTAAAAAATGATTGCAAAAACTGCATGGATCAGGTTATCTCTTCAGCAGCTGTAAACTTTAGAATACACCTTATTGCTAGCCATAAGCCTGCTACAATAAAAAGAAAGTGCAGTGCTTTAATGGTTAAAACTTTACTTTACTTTACTTTTATGTAAAGTAAGAAGAAAATCACCAATGACCTCAGACCTGATTTATTCCCAGGCATGTAATTGATGCTAAATTATAGTTGACAAATCATTGCAGCTACCATATTTTTCAGACTATAAGATGCACCGGTGTATAAGATGCACCAAGATTTCGAGGAGGTAAGTAAGAAAAAAAAGGTTTTTGCCCTCCCTGGCCCCCAAGAACACTCTGCAGGCCTCCCAAACCTTCTGCCCACCCCATTTTTTGCAAAAACGGGCCCATTTCTTGCCCGTTTTTGCAAAAAATGGGGCATGCAGAGGATTTGGGAGGCCTGCAGAGTGCTCCTGGGGACTGGGGGAGGGCAAAAATGCCCCAGTTTTTTGCAAAAACGGGTGAAAAACATCCCCATTTTTGCAAAAATGGGACAAGTGGGGCGGGGCTTTGGGAGGCCAAAAATGGCTGTATTTGGTGTATAAGACATACCAACATTTCCATCCTCTTTTAGGAGGGAAAAAAGTGTGTCTTATACTCCAAAAAATACAGTAGGTTCAAATAGCACACTAAGCCAATATACTCTAAGACAAATCACATTACAACTGAATGCCCTACAGGTGGTTCTTGATTTATGACCACAATTCAGCCCGAATTTCTGTTGCTAAGCGAGATAGTTGTTAAGTAAATTTTGCCGCGTTTTACAGCCTTTCTTGCCACAGTTGTTAAGTGAATCGCTGCCGTTGTTAAGTTAGTAACACGATTGTTAAGTGAATCTGCCTTCTCCCTTGACTTTGCCTGTCAGACGTTTGCAAAAGGTGACCACATGACCTCAGGACTGTCAAAAATATGAGTAAGTTACTAAGTGTCTGAATTTTGACCATGTGACCATGGCAATGCAGCAATGGTCGTAAGTGTGACAAAATGGTCATAAGTCACTTTTTTCAGTGCCATTGTAACTTTGAATGGTTACTGAGTGAGGAGTATCTGTATACAAACCCAATCACTGAAAAATGACATTCAGTTTAATCTCAGCAGAAACATTATTGATTTCTCTACTACAATTGGGAAGTTCTGATGTCTATCTGGTAAGGCATCATGGTTTTTGCCATGATGAACATGTGTATTGCCATTGTCCTTTTCTTTTCCTGATTAGTCTTTTTTTTCTCTCTCATGATCTCAATATTCTTTTTCCATACCTTCATTTAACAGAAATAATAATCCAAAATCCTGTAATTATGTTGGCTTGTGATTTGGTCTTGGTTCAAAAGGGAATTTTACTATTAATATCAAAAGACTTAACAGCACAAAGCATTAGATCATTTCCTCCTTAAACAACTTAGAAAACAGAACAAAAGCGTGTTAGACATGAAAACAAAACACTGAATGTTAGCTAAATTATTAATGGTGAGATGCTTTTAGTGAAGACACACAATTTATAAGATCATATTTAGTCAAGATCCAGAAATCTGGAATGAGGAACAAAATCTAACTTTACATTCTGACCTCATCTCAAGAGTACAGCATAGATAGCATCTGGCAATCAAGAAAAGATACAAACATCTTCAAAGTATATTTTTATTTGAAATATAACTAGCTCCAGTGTGTTAAGTACTGTGACCTTCCATAGTCTAGTTTCAGAAATATATTTTTGTAGAATGGTGTAACCGCTAAGCCTACCAGTAATTCCCTAGCTAAAACAATTTTTTTCAATCTAATTCATCCCTCAGTAGGCAGATTTTTCTAGTTGCCAACCAATGCATTTCTAAATTTTGAAGTTCTCAGCAGATGGCAGTACCTGGCTAATCTTATCAGAGCTCAAAGGCTAAGGAGAGCTGGGTTCGGCCAGGCTTGTTAGTATTTGGATCAAGGACTATCTAGAAATGTTGGGGAATGCTGTTTTGGTCTAAGTTGTGTAGTTTTTAGTTATGTTTTTAATTTATGTGTTTGACTTATTATATTATTGTTGCCTCTTCTTGGAGCTGGGCAGCTTAACAAATCCAATTAATTACTGCAATGGTGATGGATAACATTACAGCTTTTACAGCTGTAAACTGATAGGGAGAGAAAGGTAATACTATGAAGCTAATTTTCCTGAAGAATAAGATGAGATTACTGGAATATGTTTGTGCTGTGGGTAGGGAGACACAAGC